CCAACCCCTAAACACAGATTTGAAAACAGAAAGTTCATATGAAAAATCAAGATAGCTCATCTCCTCCCAAAATTACAAACCCTAGAGTAATTCTTCTGGTCTTCTTGAGATGACTTAGATGAAGTTCCAGACAAAGAATTCAAAAGGATGATTCTAAATGTAATCAAAGAAAGGGGACTCAATCAGCTGAATGAAAATCAGGGGTTGACACAGGGTATGAAAATGAACTTCAATAAAGAGAAACACTGAAGAAATGGGTAGCATAAATGAAGCTAAAGATTAAAACTTGATAAATCAAATCCTCAATGGAAACACTAGCCAACAAAGTGGATCATACAGAGGAGAAAATATCAGGAGTTGAAGACAATCTAGCGGAATTGAAAGACTTGGTCAAGGATGACCATCAAAATAAAATTAAAAAAAAAAAACTCTGGGAATAGACCATTCATGTCCTTTGGAACACCATGTAATGTATGGGTGTAGAGGAACTCCATAACAGGATAGAAAGTATTTTCAATGAACCCTAGCAAAAATGTCCTCAAATTTAAGGACAGTCAAGCACATCCAGATAGATACAAGAGGCATGAGAACTCCAGATACATAGGGCAGAAAAAGATACTCCTGAAGTCATATTATAGTTAAATATACAGAGCAGAGCATCCTGCAGACTGCAAAAGAGAAACAGCAAGAACTATATAAAGCAGGCCCATCAGAAAATCAACTAAGAATCAGAATCTTTGAAAACCAGAGGGCCCTACATGATCTGCCAGAGATTGTCTGTGGTTGTTTCTGATTTGGGATTTTATCTCCAAGGGAGAAATGAAGAGCTTACAATAGACTTCAAGAGCATCCATCAGGATAGCTCAACCTCCATCTTTCTCCAAGCTTGGCTGCTTCAGAAGACCAGCAAAGTCTACAAGACGCAGGTGGAAGGAATAGATGTGGCATCTCTGCTTTGGGATGCTCTGTGGTAGAGAACATGTTCACTGAAGGATATCACTGTGAATGGTCCTTAAGTACAAAGCCCCAAGCTCCCCCCCCCCCCGGAGTCAGGGCTCCGTTCTCCATGTTATCACACATGTAGGGTTATTGACCGAGATGAACTTAGAAACCCTTGACTTACTACTTCAGTAGTGGCGACCTTGATCTTACGGCAATGGCTCCTCTGTGAAGGCTCTCCTCTCAGGAAAGGTCTTTATCTAAAACTGGAATTCAGACTCAAGATGTTTAGGAAGAAAAGAGGTGAGGTGTGGAGTTCTGGTGTCCTGGGAAGAGCTGCGGAATGAAAAGAGGAGAAGGTGGGGATGGACAGTCTGATCTTCTCCGAGTTTATCTTTTCTGGTCTACACACAGCCGTTTCTCTCCACACCTTTCTGGCTGAAGCTGAGCCCTATTTATCTCATCCACCTGAGGAGGGGCCTGAAATCCGAGGAGGTGTCAGTTTCTATTCTGGGAAAGGGTTGGCTTCCATGAGTCAAGTGACTTTTAGAAGGTCACAGATGGGTCAAGCTGTCTGAGGTTGAACAGCAGGCCTTGCTGGATGACCCCATGGTCATCAGAGTTCATGGTAGAGACTCTGGACTGGACCCTCTGACTTCCCCACTGGAGCCTGCTTACTCAGGCTCTTACTTACTCTTACTCATGGCATCTAGCCCTGGGGAAGGTATCCTTCTGTTGGGTGTCCCTGTCATTTGGAGATTTACCAGTCTGATTTAAGTTTTGGTTTTAGTAAGTTAGAGCCTTTTTTTTTTTTTTAATTAAAAAGAGATGTGCTAAGACAGACAGACCAACAAACAGAGAGATATATAGAGAGATCTAGGTAAGGCCCTCGATATTGTTGGCCAAGAGATTATGAAGGCAAACTCCACAAAACCTTAGAGGCTGTGACAGCATGCACAAGACCTGCACATAACCAAACCAACCAAACCCCAGGCATTCTGGGGAGAAGAGCTTGCAAAGTCCCACCCATTTCTGAGGACCTATTGACAACTGATGGCTTCAGGGAAAGGGAGAATCAGCTTTCTCAGGGAAGTGTCCCCAGAAAGGCTACCCATGATCCAGCAGATGCTCCATCACCCATGGACACACAGGCAGCACTAAGTGGACTCGGTAGACTTTCCAAAAAGAGCACAGTGCTGGATATGGCAGCACACACCGTTAATTCTGGCATTGGGAGAGCAGAGCAGACGATCTCTGAGTGGGAGGCCAGCCTGCCGTACATAGTGAGTTCTAGGCCAGCAAGTGTACAAAGTGAGACTGTAAAAACAAAACAAAACAAACCTAAACAATAAAAAAAGGTGCATGGAGTACATGGAGTTAGGATAGAAATGTGGCAATGGGGATGGGAGACGACCTAGAAAGGGGGATGGTGGAGTGGATTTCATAAAAACAAATTCTATGCAAACAATAGGAAATTTAAACATCAACCTCTGATCTATCCATAAAAAAGCAAATGAAAGTGCTGAAGTTCATCAAAGACTAAGAAATGCTGTAAGGGTAACAAAGGATGCTGATTTGGTTGGAACATATTGTATAATTGTGTTGATATGTTATACTGTCCACATGATATAGAAAAATTACCAGTGAATCAAAATAATTTTAAAAAAATGTTTAAGGATATGGAAGACGATGTTGGCTTTGAACTTGCAGAGATCCACCGGCCTCTGCCTCTCTGAGTACTGGAATTAAACGTGTGTGACTTTAACCACTCCTGGCTGTATTTCCACAATCTTATTCTCTGTGCCTTTGGTATTGGCATACAAAAAGGCCCAGTAATCTTTTAAAGTTAATTTTGTATTCTGTTACGTTGCTGAAAGTCTCGATCCAGAACTTTTTTTCGGTGGAATTTTTGGAATCTCTTATGTATATCATACCATCTTCAAATAGGGATCATTGACTTCTTTTCCTATTTGTATCCCACTAATTTTCTTCTCCCGTCGTCTTCTGCTGACGTGTCTAGTCAACTTTTCTCAATGCTTTAAAGAGTGGTGACTCTCCGTGGCAACCACTCAAATGAGAAGATTGTCGTCCTAAGGTTGAGAGCAGCACACATTTATAAACATGAACACAAATGTTTAGAAGGCAGCTTGCCAAGATGGCTATCTAGTGACACAACATCAGTCGGCCCCTCTCCTTGGGCCAATGAGTTCTCTAACCTTGGTTTTTGACCATGTTTTCAGTACCAGGTATACATTCCCTCTGTGGAGCAGCCTTCGACACCAGCTGAGAACTGTTGGCTACTCCCACGAGCCATCTTGCCGCTACTGCCTCAGTGGACACATCTTGCCTGACAGGTTGGTCTGGTAGTCTGCAGGGTGTGGACAATTTTCTTTAGAATATTCCATCACAGAGTCGTTGGAGAGCTGAGAGCCGAAGAATGAACTCAGGCGACAAGAGCTGTGCAAAGGTATGTTCACAGCATCGAGGAAGGGCTGAGTACTTTCTGACACTCTCTGCCTCTCTTCCATCACTGATTTCTAGGTCTGTATGTGTCCCGACATCCAGGGAGCCCACTCAGGTTTCTCCACAGGCCAGCAACTGGTCCCTTTCATTTCTCTCAATCTCCACCACCAGCTGCGCCCCTCATTGCCTTCCTGCTCACTGAGAAAGGATCAAGGGCAGTACCCAGACCCCCCCCCCCCAACCTCCACCGCACGGAGTAATCACTATGAGCCCCTCAGAAACACACCATTCTATCAGTAAGTGTGATCTGATCCTTGATCTTGACTTGTCTTGGCGGCTCTGTGCCCTGGGAAACACCAGGTTCATGTGTGTCCTGGGGCTGAAACGAGGGTAGTCTGCCTCAGTGCTCCTGAGGAGAAAAACAATGATGGCCGGCCAATGGCACAGCCCTTCCTCCTACTGGGCAATGTGTTTCAGTCATTCACTGGGGGTGTTTTGGAAACTTCTTACTTCTTTCATCCTTGTCCCCTGGCTTCAGAGAACTCATTTCCCAGGTGTCTTGGCTAAGACACCTAAGAAGGCTAAGTTTCTTCTCACATACCAAGAAGAAACTGACTTGTTAGCTCTGAACCTCCACCTTTGTTTTTCAATTCCTGATCATGTGAGAGCATGGAATGTTCAGTTTCATTTTCCTGGAGATGGTTATGCTTCCCAGAAAGCACACACAGAGGTTTACTTTCACTTTTGCTTCCTGAAAATGCATTGGCCAGCTGTCATTATCTGCCAACTGACAGAGACAGCTGCAGAGCTTTTCCACTCTCTGTGCCACCAGGGCTCACTGCTCCAGGCTCCAGGCAGCCCTCCCCGCTTCCTGCTCTCCTTAATGCTCTCCTGAAGGAGGGCAGACACTTGGCAGTTGTTGGTGGCTGAGCCTTGGGCTGCAGTGAGCAACAGGCCCTTAGAGCTCTCTGCTCCTTTGGTGGAAACATCAGCTCTGTTTACAGCAGAAACTCCTTGGATCTGGTGAGTGAGAAAAGCCCTTGCCTCCACAGTGACCTGAGTTTCAGCACTGAGGGCAGAGGGTAGGCAGCCAGTCGTGACATCATCCTTTCACAGAAGGGAGTCGTGGGTCTGGAGCTGCCTTTTGGTGTCAGTAGTGTCATGAGAGTTGTGAAAAAGTTTAGGCCGAGCAGGGTATTGCTGGGTGACTCCCACAGGAAACCATGCAGCGCTCACTGTAAAGCAGCCGAGTTTTCTGAGTCTAGCGCTGCGCTGCCAGGGAGCTATGGCACAACTCTGTGAGATTTTCATAACCAACAAGAACCTAAGTAATGTTTTATCGTTGGCCCATGGAGGAAACTTACTGGCTGAGGTCTGATGATGTCCGTCCTTCTCCATAAGAGATAGCACAGTCACGTCCATCTTTACACTCACAGAATGCACTTGAGAGTAGATGTGTCTGGTTTTTAAGATGCTCAAAGATTCCCTAGTTGTTCTAACAGTCACTCAGCTTATATAATTAGTAATCAGAAATAAAACAATTCTTCTTCCTGTTCTGGCTCTTCCTAGCTCTTGCCTTTATCCTCTTGTTCCTTCCCCTCTCTCTCCTCTTTCTTCTTTGTACTGGTAGTGAGCCACTAAGTTACAGTCCAAGCCCTTTTACTTTTTTATATCTTAATTTAAATTATTTATTTATTTGTGTGTGTGGTCATACAAATGCTACGCACATGTGCAGAGGTCAGGGGACAATTTTGGAGAGTTAGACTTGCCTTCTGATTTATGGAGACGAGATCTCTCTTCTTTTTTGGCTGTGCTGTGTATTCTAGGTATCTGGCCTGTGACCTTCTGGCTCCATCTTCCCGTGGCTCTTATAGTGGGGCAGAGGTTCCTGAGGACCGTCTTATCTGGTCTTTCATGTGGGTTCCAGGGATTGAAGGTGAACAGATTTGCAGAACAAGTGGTTTTACCCACTGACTCGGCTTATTGGCCCTGTTTTCACCTTTCACTACCAATAAAATGATTTTATTTTTGTCACCGTCAGCATGCATGATATGGCAATTGTGTCGTTTTGCCTTTTTCTTTTTCTTTTCTTGCCTTTCTTTCTTCCTTCCTTCCTTCCTTCCTTCCTTCCTTTCTTTCTTTCTTTCTTTCTTTCTTTCTTTCTTTCTTTCTTTCTTTCTTTCTTTCCTGGACTTGTGGAAGCTCAGCTCTGACAGTGAGTTCAGCAATCCAAGGAGTATACATGGGGTCAGTGACTAATATAAACCAAGCACACACACACGCACACACACACACAGGAACACACATACACACACACTTGCTGGATAATGCACCAACAACTTTATTTTTTTCTTAGTCCTTATGTACCTAAGTAAAATTCTTCATGTAGGGGGAAAAAAAAATCACATTACAATCACTTCTTAATCATGAATTTCAATTACACATAATGAGCACAATTTTTATATTTTTTAAAAGCAGATAACACAAAACTTAAGAGTCGATAAAACAGATTAAACCCACATTAGTCTTGCAAAACAGACACCAATGAGATTCTGTTATGGAGCAGATAATAACCAATATTATTCTGGAACTTCTAGAATTTATTCATTCATGTATTTATTTGGACATCACATATTGCTTTATTTCAGATTTTTTTAACATCACTGCTTACATATTATGGTGTATCATTTTGAGTTTTTTGGTGAGTGTGTGTGAGTGTTCTTTCTTTAGTTTTTCTTTTTGTTTGCTAGCTTGTTCATTTTAAAAATTCTCGTCTTCCCCCCCCCTTCCATTTTCTTAAAGGAGAAACAAAAAAGGAATGGAGTTGGAAGGGTGGCAAGGGTTGGAAAGCTATGAAAATCACTTTATTTAATAAAAGATCATTAGGTAAGCATTTCCTGTACTTTCATGAAATAAACATAAAAAAGAAATTTTGCATATTGGGTATCTCACCTTACACATTATTTAGCATGTCATCTGTGGGTATAAAGCTTAGAAAGAAGAACTTTCTTAAAATCCTCCTCAGATTTAGATGATTCAAGCTACAGGTGACACTGAGGCTAATTCTGACATTCCTTTTAAGATAAAAGTTCATAGAAGTTTTATTTCTTAACTTAAGGATTATCTGGTTTACACCCATTAACGATTCAAGATCCTTTTTTAAAAGTAAGTATTTTCTGTTAAAGAGCAGTGTGGAAGAAATGTGTTCTGTGCTCTTGGCTTGGAAGGGAAGATTGCCGGGCACAAATGCAAACGGACAGAACTGACAAGTGGTTCCTGGCATTCATTCGGTCAGCTTTCAGACCACCACTGTCAAGGATGAACACTCCATAGTCAATTTTATCACGAAAAACGTCAGGAAGTCATACCTGCTACCATTCTTAGTAGGTTCCGCTAACTTCAGGTCCGGCAGAGGTGTCCGTCTGCCGTTCAGGCTCTCACTATGAGCGAGGAACACATAAGAAAATGAAGAGATCTAGCTTGAGAACAACCAAGAAAACTGGGAAAACTGGGAACTTTCCACTAATTGCCCAGTGCAGAGTCACCCTCTTCCCTCTCCCTGCCCTCCCCTGCCCCGGGACTCAAACTTAACAATCAGACAACTGCTGGAAAAACCCTAAGGACATAAATGCAGGCATCTATGGAACATTCACACACACTGATGCTGGAAAAGCCCCCAAAGCCACAGGTGGGGGCAGGCTGTCCTCGGAAAAACGGCAAAGCGGGCAGCTTAACCCTGAACACACTGGCAACTCTCCCTGCTGGAAGGTCGAAGCACGTAGCCGGACCCCAAAATATCCACCAATGAAAAATTGCCCTGTTGCTATTTCCAAAGTTTGCCTATAGAAACCCAAAGCTTTTGTTCCTCGGGGTGGCCTCTCCTTATGGTGCAGGAGACCCGAACACGTTGGTTTCCATCAACCTCTTGCTGTTGGCCTCGATCCCGGTCTCCATGACTCACTTGAGGGCCTTCCCCGGTAATGTAGGACTCCCACGTGTCTTACAAAAACAGTGGTTAGACCCGCTGGAGACACCTCCCTTAGCTCTCACTGCCGTGGGTCTGCTTTCCGCTGACCTACACAGCTATGGCTTTATAGTCCCTCTGAGAAGGAAACATCTTCCACACTGCTGCGTGCAGTAATTTCACTGCACTTTCTGAAGGGCAACGGAACCTTCAGCTTCGCTTGGTGCATCTCAGTGGCACTTCTTGAGAAGGTCGGCTTCTCCTCCTTCAGCAGCTTCTGGGTCCTGTTCCTTGTTCATAAAGTTGCATGTGGTCTCTGTGTGTGTAGCTGACGTTCAAAACTCCGACTCCATCACCTTATTTAGATTTGCCTTAGTGGGGGAGGCAGACACTTCTCACCAAGAAGCCCTCCCTGAGAGGCAGGAGAGAGACCTGGCCTGCAATGGAGGCCTTCCTTTGTCCTGAGCAATCACAGGAGTGACTTGTTTTCACCCTGCCAGCAGCCTTAGGGTGTTTTGCTTTCATGCTGCAAATTTTGCAGTAGTCTTCCGCATTTTCTCAAGCTGCTCATGAACTCCCTCTGGAGTCCAGGCAGGCCTTGAACTTGTTGCCCTTCTGCCTCAGCCTCCTGACTAGTCAGGGTTATAGGCAATGAGGAGGGAGACACTTGCTCTCCATTAGCTAAACCCTTTGTTCCTGTATGAGGAACCCTAATGTATTAGTGTATTTAGGTGTTGGGTATGCTAAATTGACCGGCCATTCTATACCTGTGTGGAAATATTACCAGTTATTACGCCATGAATATGGACAGTTATTATGTGGCAACTGAAACAACAGAACTTTATTCTCTTTTAGTCCTGGAAGCCAGCCAGACATCCATAATTAGTTCAATTTGCAATTGACCTCATCTGGATAACACAAAGTATTGGCCCCAGCTAAGAACTGTCAATCACTGGAGCCAACACTCTGGTGTGTAAATTATATATTCACAGATTCTGGGGTTATGATGCACACGTCTGTCTTTGAGATCATTCTGACAGTGCAAGGATTCAGGAAAGTTACTCTTTCCTGAATCTGAAATGCAGAAACCAGGAAGATAGAGAAAAAGTGTGTCTTCTCCAGCTGAGACGAATAAACAAACCAGGAATATAGATGAGTTCCAGTGACATGAATCAATCTGTGAGAACAGGAATGGCCTACAGGGGCTAGTGTGCCTTGAGGGATGGGTTTCTGTTTTACCAACCCTCTTTTCTTACCTCTTCAGTCTTTCTCCTTTCTCACAGATCTCCCGAGGAAACTGCCATGGATCAGTTCATCTTAACCTTCCTGAAGAATGCTTCAGAAAAGAATTTCCAACAGTTAACAGGGCGATTTCTGCCTCATTACTTTACATTAATCAGTAAGGTAGGAGGCATGATCTCTCCAGAAACTCTCACCTCTATTCAAAAAGCCCTCCAGGAGGGAAGACTGGCTGATATTGTGAGCAAGATTCAGGAAGTAATTACTGCTGCAGAAAATGCTGTCCTGGAGGTGGCTGTGATTGGGGAGTCGGGGACTGGCAAGTCCAGTTTCATAAATGCCCTGAGAGGGTTGAGTCACACAGCAGAAGAGGCAGCTGATGTCGGGGTTGTGGAGACCACTATGCATAAAACCCCCTATCAACACCCAAAATACCCCAAAGTGACCTTCTGGGACCTGCCAGGGACTGGGACTCCCAATTTCCTCCCAGACACTTATCTAGACAAAGTAGGATTTGAATACTATGACTTCTTTATCATCATTTCTTCTTCTCGGTTCACCCTCAATGATGCTCGCCTGGCTCAGAAAATCAAGGATTCAGGAAAGAAGTTCTACTTTGTGAGAACCAAGGTGGACAGTGACTTGTATAATGAAGAGAAAACCAAACCCACAACCTTCAAAGAGGACAGAGTCCTTCAGCAGATAAGAGACTACTGTCTGGCTAACCTCAGTGACATTGGAGTGTCTGAACCACGCATCTTCTTGATCTCCAACTTTGATCTGGATCGTTTTGATTTCCCAAAGCTGGAGGAGACGCTCCTGAAGGAGGTCCCTTGCCACAAGCGTCATATGTTTGCACTGCTGTTGCCCAATATCAGTGATGCTTCCATTGAGATAAAGAGAAGTTTTCTCCAGGAGAAGATCTGGCTGGAGGCCTTGAGGTCAGCGGCCCTAGCCTTCATCCCCTGCATGACCTTTTTGATGGGCTTCGATTTGCCTCAACAAGAACAGTGCTTGAAGGGGTACCGAAGCTATTTTGGCTTGGATGATAAATCGATTGAAGAGATTGCTGAAAAGCTGGACACACCTGTGCAAGACATCAAGGGCCACCTCAAGTGCTTGGACTTCTGGTCCCTTGTAAAGGATGACAGCATAGTGGCAAAATCTATAAACTGTGTTGAAGCTTTTTGTGCCGTGAACGGAGGCCCTTCGTCTTCTGTCGTCCAGGGTTTCAAAGCCTATATTCTGCGTTCAAAATTCCTTAACGTGGTGGCTGATGACGCTAAACATCTCTTGAGGGAGATAGAAACAGTAAATATTGCCTAGCAAAAGAGTAAATGAATATCAAGGCTTGTGTGAGTAAGTTGGGAGTGAATTGTCCTTCTGCCAAACTCCCAGGCCAGCTCCTCCCTAAGGTTCACGGGTTCTGTCCCATGGAGGAAGTTCATTGCTTTCCTGTAGAGATCACTAACCTGAAAGGATTGTTTTGGTGGCGGTAGCCTGTTTTCTGTGTCTTTTAACATTCTCTTTGCTAAGAGATAACTCGTTTCTGACCCATTTATGGCAATAAAATTGCAATAACAAGATGAGACTTACAATCACCATTTCCCAGTTCTTTTTCTCCTCACCAATATAAAGAGCGGTCTATGAATATGAGGTCATGGCTGAAGGATTAGTAAAATGTTTGCGGTGGGGAAATGCAACGTGAACGGGAGGTGGCGACAAAATGAAGTCCCGAAGCAGGAGAAGATCTTGGAAAGAACATGGCATGTAAAGAGGTCAGGGGGGCGAGTACTGGCTTGGTTCGTAGCTAGGAATACGGCACACTGATGTGAGAACAGGTATGGCTGGTTCCAGGAAGAGCAGACGTCTGCTGGGGAATAAGGAAAGTAAGGGGTAGGCAGTCAGAGGATGAAAGGAGCATAGAGAGGGTATCAGAGTCACTTCAAAGAAAGCCTGCCATGTTAGGAGTTTGCTTTTTCCTCAAGGGAGGCAGGAGTAAGGAAGCCGAGGCAGGCGGGGTAGAGAAACAGCCTGGGCAGAGCTCCCCAATAGAGGATCGAGGATCGCTGCTGGTATCTATTCTAACAAGCCTGTGAGAGTCCAGGGCAGAGCCATCACCTCTGGAAGGCTCTCTCAGATCATTCCAGATGAGGTCACGGGGGTGGGGAGGTGGGGCTCCAGAGGTGGTGATGGAAACAGAAGCATGTGCTTTGGGAGCCAACTTGGAGTAGGAAGTTGCAGCAATGGCTGTGGAGAGGCCGAGAGAAAGGATTATGTGTACACACACCCCGAGTGTCTGGGAGAGCACCAGCCCCACTACCTGGCGTGGAGAGGAATGGAAGGAGCTCAAGTGAGGAGAGGGATCTGGGGTTCAGCTACATTCACAAAGTCAGGAGCTTCCTACACAGACATACCAGAAGGAGGTGGGTAAATAATGTGGTAATTGAGGTAGGGGTGAATTCTAGAGGACCTAGGATGGGTTGAGTTAATCGAATGGGTTAGATGCTCACCCCGCCCCCACCACAAACACACAAAAGCCAAACTCCAGCCAACCAACACAAAATACAAAAACAGATAATTAAAACTGAGAAAAACAAAAGCAAAGCAAACTCAAACTTGCGTGGATCCCCTCCTTTCCCTCTGGCCTGGCTGTACTCTTGATTCTCTGCTGCTCCCGTGTGGCTATTTCCTTTCATAGCAGGCGAGGCTAATATGAGCTGGTGAATTCTAACACAGTTCTTCACTATCTCCCTTGAGTGAGCTGTGGTCTTGTTCTAGGGAAAGTGCCATGTGCGAGTCTTCCTCATCCATGAGGCGACAACACTCCACTTCCCTCCTCTGTTAATGACAGGTCTGTGTAGTTGCAGGTTACCACGCTGGGGTTCCTCTAAAGGGCTAGCCTTCTCTCATCCATTCATCCACCATCAGAAGCTCCTGCTGACCCTTCTAAAACACACCCATTCCTGACTCCTTTCCACCTGCCGTTTCCTACCCGACGTCAGCACTTGTCATTGCCGTTCAGCATGAGGGCAATGCCCCCTATCTGGGCTGACCTTCTAAATAAATAAACGGTGTTCAGTCATGTTATGCATATACAGAATCTCTGGAACTTCTTGTTTCTTTGACTTCTCCATCATTGCCTCACTTGTCCTTGACCTCAGGCTGTTGAAAGTGAATCCATAGAAGAATGAAAGTTCCAGTATGAAAACCTTTCATTAGGAGGTTCCCCATCACCGCCCAGTCCTCCTTCCCTTCTGTTCCCCCATGATTTCCTCATGTCCACTCTCACTGGCCACCACATGTTCCCCCAACATGGCGAGCAGACATTGCAAAGCTCCAAGGCCTTGACTGTCCCGTGTTACATCCAAACAAAGGGCTTTTCCCAGACATGCCTGGCCTCGCCCACCCCTCTCCTTAGCTCACCCCCTTCACGCCCTGTTTAGAGTTGAATTTCTCTTCCACTCTGAATCTCTTTTCTGCCTTGTGTGGCCCTACAGCAAGTAATACCTGAGCGTGGAACATTTTATCTATGTAAAATTTTGCTGATTTCTGGCCTCCTCACCAGAACTTGTTTCCTGATGCCGCTTTGGCCCCAGGTTCTTAACAGTGTTACTATATTATGTTCTCAGAAAATATTCTTTGGATGAGTAGTGTTTATGTGATCCAAAACAACCTTGTGAAAATTATGTCTCAGCTCATATGTCTCAACTCCCTTTGCTGGGTGCTTAGGCAGTGGTTTAGCTTTGCTTCCTTTGAATGACAGCATTAAGAGGCCACTTCATCTACCCACTGTTCCTTGAAGAAAAAGCATTGTTTCTCCTATCAGCACTTTTTCTTGATTTCCACTTTAACCTCTCTTAGTTTGTGCCATGCCTTCCTATTGCCCACAAGTCTTCAACTGAGGGGCCCATGGGTGGGCTCACAAACAGAGAGAAAGGAGGCAAGGAAATGCTAGTAAGACATCAAGGAAAGACAAGGGGAGAATTAGGTAATACTGGAGGGTTTCAAGAAAGAATGGAAAATTACTCATTTCCTCCCCCCCCCCCAACAACAGTAGAAGAAAGCCACACCAACACAGTGGAATGGACAGACAATGGGAGGAAGAGGATATGCCGATACATAAATAGAACCCGAAAAATGAACCGACAGCTGGTATAGAAACCATGAAGTTGGGATGGAAGGACAGGAAAACGACTCTCACTCACCTTTGGCTGGGTGTCCTGTGGAAGAACAAACTCAGCATGGACGCCCTGTAGAGGGGGTTGTAGCGTTATAATAATTCCATTGTTCCTTTCTTGTGTTTACACTTACTAGGTGAGAGGGGACAAGGAGTAGCTGTTCCATCTGATCCAATCCCTCCTTAGTCTTCACTGGCTTCTCATTCAGGCCTGCTCATGTCACTCTGGGAACTTTCATCCCCAGACTGTGGGGCTTAAAGAGACAGAATCCTCCTCTCACAGTGCTGGAACATCAAAGAAATGGGGAAGTCCCAAGACGATGTATATGCAAAATGTCACAATCTTACAATTACACATTAAACTCAGGTTTTAAGGTACCAGACTAGGCCTTGTAACATATCAGTTCCAAAAAAGGGTGTCTAGAGAGAAAGGAGACACTGTCAAGGAGACGATAGTGTGGAGATGGGCCAGACCTAACTCCTGGACACCTCCCCACTGAGTCCTGCCACCTGCAGCAACATCTCACCTGAGCTACAGAACTTTCCTTGTACATCCAGTTACTTTACACAGAGAGCAAGGAAGGAAGGTGGAGCCAACAGCCCCCACAAAAGGCATGCAAATGCCGGCCCTGGAATTGGAGCTCCCTAGCTGATGATGGAAGAGACCAAAGGGAAGAACTAGGGTCAATAGAGATACAGTATGGAAAGTGGTCAAGGGAGGTCCTCAGGACCAATCAGAACACAGAATCTAAGAGTCTGGTGGAAAGTTTCTTCATATTCCATCTGCCTCCCCCCATTTCAGCACATCCTAGGGAAGGCACTGAAGAGGGTCTCCAGCTGTGGCTTTCCTTCTTGAGCACACACAGCATGACAGTATACTCCTTTGCCTGCCCTCACGAAGCCAGCTTGCAGCTGCGTGTTATGAGTGATATGCAGAGAACTCTTGATATATTATACTGTGGTGACATATAGGTATTGGCTACACATGGGAGACTGAGGTGGGAGGAGGATCATAATTTTCAAGCACATCTGGGCCACCTAAGAAGAACCAGGGCAGCTTTAGCCATCCATAAAAAATCAAACCAAGGGCTGGAGAGATGGCGCAGTGGTTAAGAACACTCACTGTTCTTCCAGAGGTCCTGAGTTCAATTCCCAGCAGCCACATGGTGACTCATAACCATCTATAGTAAGATCTGGTGTGCAGGCAGAATGTTGTGTAAATAATAAATCTTAAAAAAAAAAATCAAACCAAGCAAAGGAAAACACTGTTGGAAGCACCATCCTGGTCCCAGGGAGATTATGACCTACAGGGAAGGAACAGGGAAACACTGCTTCCATATTCATAAGTGTCTGATGGAACGTGGGAGCTGGGACTCACCCCACACCCTGTGAGGTATTTCCATCCCGTCCAGAGGTGAGCTTCATAGTTTAGAGTGCCCAACACCAGAGTCTTCATTCATTGTGCTGGCCATCATCATTGTGCCCATCATCTCTCTCTCTCTGGTCATGCTTCATTGTTTCACCCTAAAACTGTCTGGGACTCTACAATAAACTTTATGGTCAAAATTATAGTTTTTCTTTTTCTTTCTTTCTTTTTTTTTTTTTTTTTTTGACATTTTGTGTCACATGTGTAAACCCATCTTCTCCCGGTCAATCCGGGATGAGAAGACTAATGTTTGGCCCCTTAACCCTTGCTTCCCAAGAGCAGAGATTCCTCCAGGTTTATGGGAGGGCAGGACCATGGAATAAATGTTCGTGTGACAGATTCATCGCCTGCTCTCAAGAAATTTCCAGCGTGGCTTTAGTAGAGCACAACAGACAGATACAGTATTTGCCCGAATGAAAATGTCACAACAAAACCCATTTCTTACAATGAGTATATGCTAACAAAAATGAATTAAGTGGTAATAATAATGCAATAACTAATATCGATGCGCCTTCTAGAAAGTTATGAAATATAACATATAAAAATATATGCATCAGAATATAGGAGAACTGAAGAATCAGGATCCAGAGGATTTGGTATACTTGTTGCATTGTTTGCACCCACTTAACATTTTTTAGGCACAGCTGTTAAGAGTTTGGTTGTCAGCATCCACATGGGAGCTCACAACACTCCAGGGACTTTATTCTTCTCTCATACATTCTGTTCACACAGCAGTTTCCCTTCCTTCTACTCTCCAGCCCCTCCTCCACCTCGCTTCTTCCCCAGATCAGGCCTCCCATAGATATCCGTCTAATATGGCCTAACAAGATACAATAAGACTGGGCACAGAAAATAATAATAATAATAATAATAATAATAATAATAATAATAATAATAAACCAAAACAACAAAACAAAACAAACAAAGGTCTGTGTGCACAGACCCTGATATCATCTCTGTAGGAGGAAAAGGGTCCCAACTGC